CACAGAATAATTCAAGTTTCAGTAAATTTTGTATTAAAAACTTCATTCTTTGACCTGAAACAACCAAGTCAGTAAGCTTTGCATAACTAGACAAAACATTTTGAACAATTTCTAAAGACTACTTGAAAGTTTCTTCCAAAATACACCCAGGGATGACTTTTCCATTCATTAGTCTCCACTTTTATTATGATTTCCACTTGGTGTCTAAATATTGTAAATTGTTGGGGATTGCTGATAGTGGAGGCTTATCTGCTATCCTTTTTTCTCTCTGTTTTTCTGTTCATGCATGCTCAGTAAGGGATTCTGGATGCAGCTGCTGTTTACTTGCCTGTAAACTACTTCCACACAGCCAATTAATCTGGGTCAGGATGTGGATTTAAGAAATCTGGACCACTTTGGTGTGCCTGTATAGGCACCCCACGAACCAACTGGGAGATGAAAGAAAGACCACACTGACTGTGGATCAAAACCTCAGATTATTTTTTGTTTTTACCTCCTTCCAAATGCCGGTGCTACTAAAAATATTCTCATTGTAGGAGAAGGAAAGTGGGGGGGGGGGGTGGACAGGTATAAAAAGTGTGAAAAATTGGGCATCTTTGTCAGACGCTTTATTAACTGAGATGTTCTGGTAATTTATAAACTATGGAGCACCCTCCCTGTTGACATCAGACAGGCGCCCTCACTTATGGCATTCCGTAAGAGCCTAAAAACTTGGTTATTCGAAAAGGCGTTTAATTAAGTGCTATAACAATTGGTAATGACGACTGGAACGGAATATGGATTATGAGATTGGTTATGATTCTATGATGAGACGACGCGGATGATTTAGTTTAATGATGTATTGTAAACTGTTTTTATATGTTGTACACCGCCGTGAGTCGCCCTAAGGGGCTGAGAACGGTGGTCAACAAATGCAATAAATAAATAAATAAATAATAAACTGTATTATACATATGGAAATAATTTTGCTGACAAAACTATTATGAATGAATATATATGTCAAAATGAAATCCAGTTTTCCTTATACAGTTATCTTCTATACATGCTGAGGTTCAATGTCCTGTTGATGCTGCTGGTCCTGGTTAAAGATGGTTTTTCTTATTCAATATAATATAGTTGAATAAGTATTAATGATATACTTGTGAATAAATGTTAGTGCGTTTTTTGGCTTATTGGGCCAGAAAGGTAGAGAAACTGGCAGAACCTATAAATGATGCTCAAATTAATTTGATGAGGCAGTTTGTTCATTTTATCATAGCACTTACTTGGGAATAAATATCAGTGCACTTGGGCTGACTTCAGAGCAGCTACATAAAAGACTATACTATAACAGTAATCATCAGTAACTTAATACATACGAGTTATGTCAGATTCCATATAGATTTATATGTACTGTCCTGGAGTATTCAGGCATAGCTTTACTTTCGTTTTTTCATTGTTGAGATTATAGCTAATTTTATATATTATAAGTTAATTAGTATATTTTCTAGCCCATATAGTTGATTTTGCTCTTCTTTTTAATAGTTCTAGATGTAGCACACCAAAATTCATTAGGGATATAATTTTCAATACACCTTCTCATCTTGATTATCTTTTTCTTGTTTTAAAAGGGGGAAGAGAATTGGCTGCTCTTGATTATTTTGTATTAATCTCCGTATTTTTGTTGTGTCCTTTCCACCCATCCATTCAATCTTTTCTTTTATTTACTATAAACTAAACTAAATGTAACATTTTAAAAGTTAAGCCTTAATTAGACTTTTCCTTAAAACAAATTTGAAAACAATATTGTTATTTCAGGAATACTTCCATGGAAGCAAAAGTACTGCATTGTTATGCTGGTTAATATGTTCTAAGAAATTCAGTAAAAAAATAAAATATTGGTAACTGTGCTAAAAGTATAGTGATATTTTCATTAAGGGGCATGTTTGGTAATGATAATTATCTATCTTATACCTTAAATGTTCAGATGAATAACATACACAGATATATAAAATAGATGTACTGAATGTTATAATGTGCTTAACATTCTAAAGGACTCCAGGTTGTTATTTTTTTAAAAACAGTGAAGGTATGTTTTCTCCTGTTCTGTATTTTTATTTATTTTCAATGAACATATGTCTACTCAGCTTCCTTGTGTATTTTCCATCCTAAATTTGGCATTTTAATGTACATTTTGTCCCCAGTTGCACTCAGTTAATGTATGCCTATACATATCATGAATGGTCTTTAATCATTGACATTTCTCTGACCTCTTATAATGATACTGTTTAGATATCAACAACTTTTAATACCTTGTTATTTTATCCATTGTATAGTTTCTATATGGTTAGCAATCTTTGTTCATAACAATTCAATGTTTTGTCGAAGGCTTTCATGGCCGGAATCACTGGGTTGCTGTGAGTTTTCCGGGCTACTGTATGACCATGTTCCAGAACCATTATCTCCTGAACATGGCCATACAGCCCAGAAAAAACTCACAGCAACCCAATTGAGCTTCAGTTTTTTCTTAATTCTATTTGAAAAGCTTTATGTCCTTTACATGCTCAGATCACACACATCTCTGGGTGACATTTGGATTATTATTAATGCCTCTGTCCCAACTTGAAGTAAACATAATATTACTTCTTTACTGTGGACCTTTTCAATATGTTAATACCTTTCTTACATCTTATATTTATATAGTAATTCCTTTTGCCATGCTTTTGTCATGGCTTCTTTCAATTAACCATAATTTAAATTAACCACATTTTTTTCTTGAAGAATATAATGACAAAGTTTTACATAGCAAAGGTCAGTTCTTCTGGTCTCAGTACTATACCAGGGGAGAAAGAGTGCCAGGGGACTGTGATTGTATCCATCCTGAACTCACACAGCCTCGAGCAGTGGTTTCACATCCTCTTTGAAATAAGTCCTTGTAGTTCAAACAAATAAATCTGAAATCAATGTTTATATCAATATATGAACTAGGAAAACAGATTCTGGGTCCATCATACCAGAACTTCAGTAGCACATGAGCCGATTTTACTCCACATCAGTCCCCAAGCTGACAGTTCTTTATCCTGTGACAGAATTGATTCTGTCATCTTTTTTTTAAAAGCCTGATGAACTTGTTCCTCTTTGTACTGTACTTTCGTGTAATGTCCCTTTCCTGATTGATTGTCACTTTTGTATTTACCTTCACATCTTCCAAACCTTGTATTAATTAGGAACATACAGTTTGTATAATTTCCTTTACATCAATATAATGGAGACCTTGATCTCTCATTCATCCAAATATGGGAGCTGGGCTCCACGAGGAAACTCCATTTGCAATGGGAATGATAAATATATAGCATATTTGTACTGCTGTACCCATAATCCCCATCATTTCAGACACACCACCCACAAACATTAACATCAAAGCCCTATGCTTTTATCTTTTATTATGTAACATTTACATACAATAAAAATAAAATAACACCAGAAGCAAACTACACACTGCATTTATAGGAATTTGTTCAGCTCCTTTTTAGTAGAAACCAGATAAATTTGCATCATGTATTCTGGCAGCTAATATCCAGCACTGAACTATTTTTTCAATCTCGGTATGCCTCAATTAATATAATTTTATTGGTATTTTTTTTAATTTGAAATTTACCAGTAGCTGCTGCATTTCCCACCCTAGGCTTATACTTGAGTTAATCAATTTTCCCAGATTTTGGGGGTCAAATTAGGTGTCGCCTTATACTCTGGTATATATGGTACTCCAGAGGCATTTTTTTCCACTTCCAGATACATTTGATGATCCTATATACATTTTAGATAATTTTCCTGGTGTCTGTCTGTACTAAACCGTTTTCCTTCAAATAATAACAGAATTAAATTTGAGAACCTTTTACCACCTTCTCTCACATTGCTACATGTGTTATAGCCAAAATTTCTTGTCCATTTTATCATACAATCTTTCTTCTGTTCATATTCTAATATTTACAAACATTTATATGTTTCACGAATTATTTGTTCATAATTCGTACATAACTGGGTTTCATATTCTGACATTGATATTTCAATTACATACTTTTTATATCAACAGTAAGGAGGAAAGTAGTTGAAATTCATATTCCTCATAATGACTGTTAAAATCTACATTCAGCTTGATCTTATCATACCATACATATTCATGTCATATAAAGTTCAGGTCATGATCTTCTAGTTTTAGGAGTTTTTATGTATTCCTTTAATCACGTTAGACAATATGAAGCATGACTTAGTCTTGAGTTTGGTACTCCAAGGCACTTGATATTTGGGAGACAGTTGTCATAATCTCCCGAAAGCTTCCCAGCCTTTCTGTTGCTCACAATCACCTTATCTGGGTTACTGACTATACTCTAGCATTCATATTTTCTTGACCTTGTATTGGCTACATAACCGTTTACTTCTTTGTAGAGAGGGGAGATTGCAGTTGTAGAAAGAATGAGAAGTATTTTTGTGTCAAAGCTGTGACTGTATGATATATGTGTATTTTGGAAGCGTAAAGAATTATTAATATTACAAGTAATATTAAAATATTTTCAAATAATCTTTTGCTATCTCTGACTGAAGTATGACTGGACATATTGGCCAATCTATTTTAACCATAATTACAACCTAAAACAGATTACTATATAATCAATATTTGGCTAACTATTGAAAACCGAGAACCCAAAGTGATTACTGGGATGGGATACTTCATTATCTCATGTTTTCAGTTTGTTTCTAATACTATTAGGTCTGCATTCACTTGTGTGAGATCTGAGTAGATTATAAATCTCATGATACAGGTATTCCTAAGAATTTATATTGAAAATGCAAAATGATACTTACGATATTGTTGTCAATTTACTCATTTATGTCCTGCATTTTCCCCAGCCCTGGTACTCAAGATGTCTTTAAGAAGATAAAACAGAAACATATAAAACTGCATTCAGAAACATTGTAACATGCCCTCTCTCTCTTTCTCCCCCTCTTGTTTTAACTTTAAGGATTGTTCTACATCAGAAGAATATAACATTGCTGCAGCACTACTGCCACTAACAACTGCCTTTTATCGGGTAAGTTATGGTTTCCTGTAAACTAAATCGTACCTGTTTAACTAGCCTTAACTGCAGTTATTTAAAGTAGGGGTAGGTATTGTGTGACCCTGAGCCACATGTATCCAGTCCTGTTTTAGCATCATAGACTCCCATATTCACCCCAACTTCTATTTTTTGTCAAGAAAGGTTTCATCTTTTATATGAGTCACAGAAAGCCCTCACTGTTTTAACATTAAAAATACAAGTTTACTTCAGTTATTGAAGTTGACGATTTCCTAAGCATTACTATGGTAGCAGAGATAAGTGACATACAAAGAATAGGGGTAGGTTCCTATGCCAGGAAAGGAAGGAGCTGCTTCAACATGTTTCAGCAAATATTTTATTTGGAATGTGAATTATGCACACATGAAATGTAGCAGCCAGGTCAGGTAAGCCTTGCATGAATAAACAACAACATTTGGAATCTTTTAGAGACCATTTAGAGTTCTTCCAAAATGCATCTAGAGATATTTTTCCTCACACCGGTCATCACATTTTAAATAATTTCCATCCCGGTAGCCAAACATCGGTGCTTTTTTAACATGCTGGGGAGGGAGCAAATGGAGGGAGGGATATTCTGTCATCACTATGATTTACAAAGCCCTTAAACAGCTTGTGTGTGTGTGTGTGTGTGTGTGTGTATTGATGATGATGATGATGATGATGATGACGACGATATTTATTTATTCCCCACTTTATCTCTCCCAAAGGGGACTCAAAGTGGCTTAACATAAAAGCATCAGTATACAATTTAAAATATACAAATATGCAAACATTAAAACAGAATTAAAACAGAATTAAAACTAAACAGTATTTTTAAAATCACAGTTAAAATCCATTAAAACATATTCAAAGTTAAAAACCACAGCACCCCCTGATTTGATCTTAAAAAACTTCATCTTTAAAAGCCTGTCTGAGTAAAAAGGTATTTGAAAGACTGGATCCCAAGTATGGGCCTGTCCAAGATGTGAGAGGTGGTCTTATTGCATGTCTGAACACCCACCAGGCTTGGTTGGGGTGTAGACATGATGTCTGTGTAATTCTCTGCTAATGGATGGTAGACTGGCTCCATCTCATTTTGAACTTTCAACAGGCAAAAGCCACATTGTTTCATATGGCCTTTGGACCTTGAAACTGCTCTGATTGTCTTAATTCATAGATGTTATAATCATTTTCAAGGAACATATTTATATTTTAACCAATTAATTGTTTTAAATGTTTTTGCATCACCTTGAGGACCTTGGCAAACTGAGAGGTGGTATAAGAATGCCTTAAATAAATACATTTAAAAATACAATTAAAAATACAATCGGATTTAAAAATTCAAAGCGTGTTTCCCAGTATTTCTAATAACAAACATATATTTCAGATTCTTCTGGAAATTCTGTGAAATTAAGATAACATATTGCATAGCAATTGGTAAACTGATTCGATAAAGGGTTAACCAAAAAACCTGAAGTTTTTAAAATCTCGTAAAGTCTGTGTCTAGTGGAAGTATACTCTAGGGCAACACACATACGTAATTAAATTAACAAAAGAAAATTTCTGTTTACAACATACTGTGACTCTTGTGATGTCCAGTAAAATTCCAGTAATAATACTGAGTGACTAGGCACTTACAAAACCCGATAGAGCCGGATGTGACTGAAGAAATCCACAAGCCCATAGCCATCAGGATTAAATTCATGGGCAACAAGTCAGTATACCGATACATACTTGCGGCCTTACAGTTTTGAAGCAGAGAACATTACTGTCTCTTCCCTTTATTTCATTTTGTATTACTAGACCTGAATAATAAAAAAAAGGTATGATTCATCTACATCAACAGGAACATTCTTTATTGTGTGTACTAATGGTCTGTGCGAGCAAACAATTTTAACCTCTAGGGCAGACAACAATGTTTCTATTTACCATTACTAATACAGCTGGAATTTGTTTCAAAAATAAATAACATGTAATTACATTCGCCATACTGTGCGCTCTATTTTTTTTTGTTAAATATGGCCTGTTGTGTTAATTTTCCAACAGAGTTAATAAAAATAATGTGATAGTAAAGCATTTCAAAATACATTTATATATATAATTGATGCTAAGAAGACTTCTGTGTAAAAATTATATGTATTCCCCTTTCTAACATCTACTTTTGGGATTGTCTGTGTTGTGCTTCAATAGCTTGGGTGTGAAATATCCAGGGAAGGTGCTTCCCTTTTGATTCATTTTGCCCTCCCAGTTAGTCTTGACACAGTCAAACATATTCATATTACTGGTTGAAAATCCCTCATCTAGAATTCTGAAATCCAGAATACTCCAAAAACTGAGATAGAGATGCTTTCTGGTTCAGTGTCTAAGCATCACTCTAACTCCATTACTTCTAAGGTTCAAACAAAAGGAAACACCTATAAATACTACATTTTTTCAATCACACAGAGTAGAGAGAGGTTTGAATGAAAAGGTGGAAAAAGAAGAAGTGTGACCATGGGGTCTTAAAATGAAAGGACATACGTCCTAAATAAACGCCATTCTACATCATCAATTAGGATGGGAAGAGAAAGAGTGAGTGAGAGAGAAAACAGATACATCAACAGACATTCAGGAGCTGGGTGGGGGTTGGGGGAAGGATTCCTTCAGCCTAGCCTAATGCTATCTAGTTGCTTCTCATTAAGGACTGCAGACTTGAGCAGTGTATGGTTGAATTCCAACACTTTGCACTGATTGAATTTTTGTTTGAGAAAACAGATATCAGAAGTTAGTATTGTGGCTCAACTGCTCACCTTCATGCACTCGAACATACAAGGCCAGACAAAAATCCATTTTTGCTCCCCCAATCCTATTGCCATCTACATGATGTTTATGAGAAAGTTTATCTGGAGATATGGAAATGGTGTACAATCATGTTTAAAAAATTCTTAAAAGGCATGGCTTGGGCATACCCTATAATCCAGGCAATGCTTCTGCAATAGCTGCATGCAGAGGTCTTTTTAAAATGCCATTAAAATTGAACTGGTATCAAAAGGGGCTACCAGCATTCTGGCTGGGTTTCCTTTTTTACATTTCCCTATGCATACACATCATCTGCAAGGATAGCTTGGTCATGTTACTTAGGGAGAGATTGCATGCTCTGCTTGCATGACTCAGTCTTGGGTTGGTTTAGAATATACAGTTCAATGCACTTCTTCATCCTGTGCTTGTGTAGAGTGCATGGAGACATATGCAGTCTTCATAAACTGTTTAAAATGCTTATGTTCTGTCCAGAATGGAAATGAACCACAAGATTCAATGCCATCAATTCCGTAATACAGAAAACAGCCTCATTCACTTAAGACTTTTCTGGAGACTTGTGTCTAAAGCAATTCCCATTTTGAAAGTCCAAATCCTTTATGTTCACATTATCACTAGAAATTAACAACAGCATTTCTTCCAGAAGTTGGTGGATATTTATGCATTGTATCCACCTATTCCTGCCATTATTCAAAGAAATGGCCGAAAGAGTTGATATGCTAAGTGCTTTACAAAATTGGGGGGGGGGGGGGGGGGGTGTCAAGATATAACATTTATTGCAGAATTTGTTGACATTTAGAGGGTTGGCAGTACATTTTGAGATGAATGAAACCTTGCAGATTACAGTTGAATAGATACATGGAGTCTTGTATAAAAAAAAAACATGAGAGTAGGGGTGGACAAAGCAAGCATTTCTTTCTCCTAGCTCTTTTTATAGTCCTTAGCCAGTGAGTTAAAGTGTTGAGCTGCTGAATTTGCTGATTGAAAGGTCAGCAGTTCAAATCTGGGGTGAGCTCCTGCTGTTAGCCCCAGCTCTGCCAATTTAGCAGATCGAAAACATGCAAATGTGAGTAGATCAATAAGTACTGCTTCAGTGGTAAGGTAACGGTACTCCATGCAGTCATGCCAGCCACATGACTTTGGAGATATCTACAGACAACACCGGCTCTTCGGCTTAGAAATGGAGATGAGCAGCACCCCCAGAGTCAGACACGACTAGGCTAGAAAAAGGGGAAACCTTTATCTTTACCTTAGTCCCTACAGACTCTTTGGGTTGCCTTTCTGTGACCAGAGAAGCAGGGAACTAATTCACCTGAAAAAGCCATTTTTATATTTTTAAAAATGAGAGAAATGACTGCCCTCATAGGACAGAAATTATCACTAAGTGCACTTTATTTTCCTATACCTTCTTTAGTATTTAGGACTCCTACACATGTATGCTATTCCTCTTGTGTTGTTTGCAGATTATTTTTGTGAAAAAGGCATAGAGCAGAAATGTAGGTTTCATTAAGACAATTACAAAATTTCAGGAAAAGGTTCACTTTTTGTAGCAACGGAGTTATTGGGAAAAGATTGGCCTCCCCACTACAATGCATGGCCAAATCCAGTCTTGAGTTCCAAATGGAATGGATCCATTCAACTGGTAAATCATTGCTTTCATGAATTTCATTCATTCAGTGCTTCTATTCTAGTTCAGGCAAACTAATTTTTTCTTCGTGGCCTCTGTGAATGCACACATATGGAGTATCTGCGCCTGCGCAGGCGCCAACGAAAAACTTCCCAAGTTGAAACTTTTAAGTTTTGGCAGTAACTCCGCCCAGCCGCCCAGCAGGGCATAAAAGGCACCCCCCGCACACTCCCGGTAGTTCCTATTTTTCCACCGCAAGGCTCGCTCAGAAAGTTCCCTGATTATGTCCACAACGCGCTTCAAGCATTGCACTCAATGCCCGAGAAAGATTCCTGACTCGGACAAACACTCGAAGTGTCTCCGCTGCCTCGGAGAAGGCCATAACACTTCGACCTGCAAATATTGCCAGGCGCTGACAGTCCAGTCGAGAAAGAATAGGGCAGCGCGCCTCAAGGTTCTTCTCTACGAAGAATCTCTAGCACCTCAGCCTTCGATGTCGACAGCCTCTGCTTCTCGACCTTCTTCGATCTCGGCGCCTTCGACATCGACAGTGACTGCATCCCGACCTCCTTTG